AGGTACCATGGGTGTCGTATTAAGCTCAATTTGAATTCATTTCCAAAGTGAATAGATGAAATAGTGAGCAACAAGTCATCCATCTTATTGCCCACCTAAAAAGACCAACTTTAACAACATTAACTAACCTCCCAGTGGAGAGCTGTAACAACTATCAATCATTGGTAGCCACCTTACTAACAGGTTTGGAATATCACATCACAAAGAAATATCCAGAGCAAAGTTTCAAAACAAGGTATAGAGGAAAGAAAAGACTTAGCCAAACTTGCAGAAAATTTGGAAAGGTTTGCCCAATTATCTTACCTGGACACTCCTCTTCAAATGATGGATTTGTTGGCATGTGACCAATTTATAGACCCCATAAAAGACAAGGATATGATAATTAGGATGAAGCAAAGTAGATGTACATCTTTAAGGGAAGCTTTGCAGTTGGCAATGGAAGTAGAATCCATTAAAATCACAGATGCTAAAAACACCATCTCGGAGTTATGGGACTGTCAGCTCGAGTTATGTTGAACATAACTCACATTGATGATAGTCTAGAAGAACTAAAAGGATTGATTATACAAGAGAACGGAGGGAATAAACCACATGATAATAAGTGTTTAAAGTATAATTTGAAAGGAAATATTGCCAGGAATCTGCAGACAAAAACTTGTAGGGAATAAGAGCTCTTCCTGAAGGATACAAAAAGAGAGGCTCGCTGTAAGTGTGGGAAATCTTACCATTACATCTAAGACTGTGAGAAATCAACAGCTGGTATTATACTAAGGAGATAGTACCCTAAGCACAAGTCTTTGAGTCCAACCAGATAAAAGGAACAGTAAAGAGCTAGCCAGACATTGGGAAAAAGGAATAAGCTTGAGTTATGGAACAAAGCTTAGCTTAGAATACCTATCTGTCCCAAATGAGATTATAGCTTTATTGGTTGGAAACTTTGCAGTGTATTGATATTCACTTGTCCTATAGCTACAGTAGTTCGACCCAAGTTGCTAATGAAAGGTAGGGGTGATGCAAACTCCCAGGAAGAACTCTTTCAGTGACCACAAGGGAAAAGACGCCATCCCATTTGTATACCCTGGGCCTCAGAACAGTAAATCACCAAAAAGACACTTAGTAAATGGGTAGTTTAGTATAGTGTTTTATTATGTTTTTGTATTAGGATTGTTCAAGGGACTTCATAATCCAGGAAGGAGGCAGTATTATAAGCTATATTTTTCATATTGTAACTTAGATGTTAGCTAGAGGGAGCTGCAGGTCATAATGATGATGTTAAATTAGGCCTAGTAAACTCTAATGTTGTGATGTCAATTTTTATAGCAAAATTGTAGGGTAAATTATAAATACAAGGCTCCATGAAACATTAAAAAGTTAGTTAAGAATATAGTGAGTTGTTTCTACCCAGTGGAACAGTCTTGTGTGTTTTCGTTTTTAGTGAAGTATATGGATCTATGTCAACTATGCAGATATTGAATTACTTTATCCAGTTAGTGTCGTTTGTAAATGCAGCCTAAATTTTTTTAAGTCTGAATAGAGTGAATTTATAGATGGGTGTTGTGAATTAAGATAGTCAAGATAGTATAATATATGGCTCTTCCCAACACCTGCAAAATTTTGGAGCTTATCCTTGCTTGTGGTGGGGACTGTGCAGCTATACTATGTCACCTCAATGGAATTCAATCTTATCAGCATTATCATTACAGTGTCTTTTAATTTTATCACAAGCTGATTTAAGTCTTTCCTTGGTGAAAAGTTTAGAAAAAACGACGTTTATACACCAGATATATATAAAATAATTTTTTATATATATCTGGAGTATAAAGGTCGTTTTTTCTAAACTTTTTATCAAAATGTGTAAATCCCTCCAGTATGCACTACAAATTTTGAAAGATTGCTATATTGTTTCTTGGGTAAAATCGGGTATGACACAAATGGTGTTCATTAGCCTATCTGCATATTCTATGGACGATTTTAGTCAGTGACTACTCTCTGGATGTGAATAGAGAAGGTCCAATGCCACTTTAAGTTCTCTCGAAACATCAGTGATTATGGTGTATTGCTTGTAGCTAAATGTACTGCCATTTGATAATTCATAAGAACCAATGAAAGTTATTCATTTCACATGTTCTGATGCTCTTTCACATAAATGGCTAATTGGTTTAAATGTGAGCAGTTATTCTCTCCACCAGGTCATCAGAAAATGGATGAAAGGCTGCTCTGCTGCCCTAGTTTTTTTTTATTCCAATGATCTTAAAAATGTTTGCAAAAAGAAAAAAAGACTGATTCAAAGTTTCATCCTGATCTGAGTAAAGTTACATAGGTACCCCAAATCTTAAAACAGATTTATTAATGAGGTCCTTGCTAGAGTTCCTGTTTCCTTGTTAGGAACAGTATATACTTCAGGTTATTTGGTTGAATAATCTATAACAACCATTTATTCCCATTGTTACTCTGTGGCAAAGGACAAAACACATCAACAGGAATTCTCTGAAGTAGTGCTCCGACACAAAACTGCCGTAGTTGCCCATGCTGTTACTTTCATAGACCTTTTTGCTCACAGCATAGTTCATATGATTTACATCAATATTCTAATGGATGTATTCTATTACTCTCACAACTGTCCTTTTTAACACCTAAATGTCCAGCTAATGTGAGGTTGTGCAGATGGCTGAGAATGTAGAGACTGTTAAAATACCAACTGTAGTAATTCTTTTTGTCTACTGGTATGTTCCCATTACCGATATAAAAAACTTGTTTGTTTTGTTTGTAATCAAGCACAAAGCTACATAATGGGCTATCTGTTCTCTGCCCACCACGGATACCGAAAACTGGTTTCTAGCGTTGTAAGTCCGCAGACACACCGTTGTGCGACTGGGAGGAGGGGGGCTATAAAAAATATTGTTACGTCTCCGTTTGTTAATTAACTTTCCGTAACTTCTTGTGTCGCTAAAGTTTCGTCGGAACGTTCTTTACTTAATAAAACTGGTTTATTCTTTCCGAATACAACTTT